CTTGTGCTTGGCTTTGCAAAATGGCTTTGCAGCTTTTTGTTTAGTGATAAATTTCCTTCAGGATGGTTATGGGTGGGAAGCTGCAGGTGAGGGTTTTGGCCTGTTCTCTCCACAGAAGTTCAGAAACATTTTGGACGACGACAGGCATGTTCCCACAGGAATTCATTATCGGTTTTCCTAAATGTGTGAAAATCTGCAAAGTCGCAATCCAGTGTTATTTGGGTAAGACTTCGCTACGCACCGTGTGAAAATGTGTCTTGACTGTGTAAATTCTTACAGTCGTGCCATGTTATGTAAGTAGCCACTCAGTAGGTTCATGAAGATGTAACTTCACAAAGCAATCGGCCTTTATGTCCAAAGTTTTTCATAAATGCATCAGGAAAATACGGAGAATCTACCCCACCTGCACTTAACTGTCTTCTCATAACACCTTGTACTGAGCTGATAATTAACTTCTGTTGCTCAGTGAGGACTGCTCCGTTTTAACGGACGGGACTACAGCTCTTACTCTTCTAGGGATTTATTTTGAATATTGATTTTTTTATAATTGTCTAGGACAGAACTCTCTCTGTCTCTTTTAAACAATGGGAAGGAAAAGATGAGTTCTAAACCAGCAAGGACTGTTACGGGGTCAGAGTGTGGAGGCAGGAGGTTGGCCGTTAGCAGAGGCTACGCAAAAGACATGAAGACTTGTCATGGTCCAACCTGTCACGTGAGGGTGGTGGTTGTCTTACAACCCTGCCCCACAAGTTAGAGGAAGAATGGCTTGGTTAATGCTTTTGAAGTGCTTTGTAGATTAGAAGTGATGCAATAAATATCATCCGCAGTGAAGAAGGAGAACGTGGGTTGATATTTTAAATGTGTGTATATTTTAGTGCGGACCTTAAGGATCGAAAGAAGCGTTTCTAAAGACCCAGTAGGTTTTGAACAGTGCGTTGAGAAAGGTAAGATTCTGACCCTGAAGCAGTGGGGACTTTGTGGGAACAATGTTGATCTCTTTCAGCGCGTTGTTTTAACCCCATGTCTATCTGTTGAGTGGTCAGGTGTGGCTTGGTGATTATTTTATTAGACACTAATGTAATAGTCACATTTAAATGGTTACATTTGATGTAAGAGTCACATTTAAATGAAGTTGATGAACACTGCTGGTCTCTGTAGCAGGTTGGACACGTAAAATGCTGTTTCAGGGCTGAAAGCAATCTTGTGTGCTCGCTTTTATGTTCTCAAAAATTAAAAGGAGGCTTACATGGTATAATACAGTGCAAGTGCCCCTTTCTGAATTGTTCAGTTGGTTGGTTTGTTTGGGTTTTTTTAATGCCTCCTGGGTGACATTTATAAAACAGTGTAATGAGTGGGATGTATATACACTGGGGTATTGCAAGAAGTATTTGTTCTCTTAAGGCACCTTTAAAAAAATAAGAAAGAACAGTTTCCGTATGGAGTGTAAGTTCATGGCCCTTAAACTGTCTTGAGCTCTGCAGTCCAGTGCAAGCTTTTCACAGCATTGCACATCGTTCTTCATCATCTCTTCTAGATTTGCAACACACAGAAGGGCAGCTTCAAATGGAAGAATTTCCAGTGAGTATTTACAGTGCGCTTCGATATTGGTTCGTGAAACGGGATGTCTGGGCTGACGGGGGAGAAACCATGAAAACCAAAACATCTTTATTTACAGTTATTGCTCAGGTGATGTTAGATAAAGGAATTTATAAAGCATGATATGAAATTGCTCTTCCCAACTGCTCCTTTGTAGGTTATGGTGTGAAATTGCACCTGCCTACTGCGGCTGACTGTGTGAATGAGCTCTTCCCAGGAGTGTGGCAGTCTTTCCTCCTTCGATTGTTTCTTCAAGGCTGCAGGATTGAGGTGGGGGGGTGGGACTCATTCGCATTCCTGTCATCTGAAGAAGCTCTGAAGCCAGCTAGATGTGTTAGAGGAGCTTGGTTTATGTGTCGTTGGAAACCAGACACCTAGATCCTTCTAACAAACTTGTGCAAATGCTGTTTGATCGTTAAGTTGCTACAAAGAATACAAGAACCGTTTGTTTGTTTTCCTTCTACAGCTTCCTGAATTCCAAGCCACTTACTTGCGTTTCATCATTAAATCTGCCTTCGATCACTTCGTGTCGGTGCACCGGGTGATGGCAGAGGGCACAGCAGAAAACACCTGAGTCCAGCTTAAATTTGTATCTTTTTTTTTTTTTTTTATAACGAAGCTATATTTTGAGATCTGCAGCACAGAGAATATTTATTATTAAAACCTTGAAGTTTTTGAAGGTACGGATGTAGGTTGTGTTAAACCCAGCCGGTTTCATGTATGCAATGCAGTACTCCTGTTAACAGCTTTCTGGTTTTATACCCTAGGCTGGTATCCTACAACACCTGAACGTAACTCTGTTTAAATCAGTATGTTTATATCAGGCCGTCTTAATATATGAATTAAAATTCAATTCCTTATAAAATGTTCCCCTTGTGCTCTGAGTTAAATAGGAAAAAGTATGAAAGACGGGAGGTATTACTTCCTACTCCACAACACATCCTTCAGAAGTTCTTAAATGGGTAACTTTCTCACCAGCTCAAACTGTTCAAGACTAATAGGGTGAATATAAACGTCTGCTAATGCTCAGAAATAGCGTGGGTGGGGAGGCAAATAATCTGAAACCGTGTGAAGTGCTCTGATAGATTTTTAATAACTGGAGATCAGTCCCTTGTTTCTAGAAGTATTTTCTACAATCAGGTCACAGCCGTCTGAGCTTTATGCCGTGACTGTCATAACAAATACTAGTAGAAACAAAAGTTGAGAGAGATTGTCTTCCCCAGAAGCCTTGTGAAGCCGGTGAAAGTGAACACAGAGGAAGGTTGTACATACACCAAGAATCTTAGTAACGTGGAACGGGCTGTTTCGCGTGCCAGTCGACTTTTCCGAACGTTGCCATCCCTGAAGTTTATCCCGCGCGATGTTTCTGGTATCGAGTCCTGAGGGCTCCGTGGACCCAACCACCGTTCGTCACCGCATGTGGCATCAGCATTAAAAGATACCACGGCGCAGCCGTCGGGGTGGTGGTGGTGAGACCTGAAAACCTCTCTACAAACACATAATGAACCACATTACGGATGCTCTTTAGATACACTTACGTTAGTCTTTTTGTCTCTGTTGTTATTTTTTAATTCTTTTTTTTCTTATGTCAATGAAAACTTATTCATTGAGCTTTTTCTCCCAGATAGTCTTTACTCTGAAGTCCTCTTCTTTTTCTAGTTCAGTTTTTCCAGGATGGCGCGTATTTCCTGGGGGTGATAATTCCAAGGCCCCACTCCTCCCTGCAAAGGCAATAAAATTACACGGTGAAGCTGAAGCAGAGAACGCAGGAGTCCTTCAGAGCACAAGCCCCAGAACTGCAGGCAGGTGTGCTTGGGCCTCTGTCACGTGGGAGATGGCGTATGCGCAGGTTGCACCCTGCTGTGTAACTGGGACAGGGCCAATGTCCGGGTCCTGGAGCTGGAGAGCGTTCCCTGATCTCACAGATGTAACTCCGTTTCCTAATGAGCCAAAAGATAAATATTTGAGCAAGACCAAGGTGTACATCAAATATGTACGTTATAAAGGCCCAGACTGGTTTTGCTGCAAGTCCCTCTCTCCCCACAGTCCCCGTGGATTGTGAAATCTTGGCTCTCGAAGAGAATGAAGTGACAGAATGACCCGGAAATGTACAGCGGTCTCAAACTATTTTGAAATTAGAAAATCTCAATGTATTGTGCTCGGGTTTTTTTACCTTGTAGATGACCTTCCCTCCTTGAAGTAAATACAGTCGTTCTGGCAAAGCAGCGTATTTTGTACTGCTCAGGTTTTCCATAGTGTCTAAAACCACTGGACATAAAGGATTATTTTTCTGAAGCAACTGTGCTGCCGTTCTTCGATCTTCAAGGCTTCTGTGATTTTTAATAACAATATTGTTTTTAAAAGCCCATCCATCTAAAACAAGAGGAAAGGGATTTAGCAAGGAACATTTTGAATGGGTGTTAAGGGTGCACTGTCTGTCGTATCCCAAAACCGTGTTAAAAGAATGCTGCTATTTACTTTTTGAATGAGTGTTAAGGGTGGATGTGCATGGTCTGTCGTATCCCAAAACTGTGTTAAAAGAATGCTGCTATTTACTCCCAACGCCAAAACTTGCCATGAAATGAAAGCCCCCCTCTCAGAGTATGAGAGCACTACAGCTTTTCAAAGAAATGGTCCCAAGATCTCTTTTTTTTCTCTTTAATTTGGGCAAACTGTATTTTTCCCCTTAGTGTTAAGGGTGGATGTGCATGGTCTGTCGTATCCCAAAACTGTGTTAAAAGAATGCTGCTATTTACTCCCAACGCCAAAACTTGCCATGAAATGAAAGCCCCCCTCTCAGAGTATGAGAGCACTACAGCTTTTCAAAGAAATGGTCCCAAGATCTCTTTTTTTTCTCTTTAATTTGGGCAAACTGTATTTTTCCCCTTGCCCTGGATTTGGAAATAATTGATGGCTTTTAGCTGGAAGTCTCCCACATGAATCAACCCTAGGAAGATACCCTGCGTGGGTAAGGTTTGTCAGGATTACTGGCACAGGGGAGGGGATTTTAAAGTGGTAAGTGCCACGATCAACTGATACCCATTTGCTAACCCCGTCGCAACAACGGTGCTGTTGGTTCTGCTTGATTCTACTTGTTAAGCCTAGGAGAAGTGAAACATCGGAGCCCAGGGCAAACCTTCCTTTTTCAGAAATATGCAAACTCACATTTGCACATGACTCTTTGTACTGAAGGAAGAACTAGCAAAAGGTTTTGGTGACTGACACAGTTATTGCCTGTTTCTCAGACAGTGAAAGTGGTGGATTGTTAGCAAACTCGAAAACTGTGAATGTTACAGTTTAGAACACCTGGGATAAAATCAGTGCCAATGTGTTACTTGGAGTCCAGGTAAGAGTGTGTAGTTTGTTTGCTAAAATTTTCAAATTAGAGCCTGCATCCTCTTCTTGAGACATGTTAAAATTACTGGTTTTTAACATGTGACATACTGGTGTTGCACACTTAAGCCTTTGTTCTCTTAAATGTTTTTAGGTTTGGGGTTTTTTGATATCAAAAGGAGCTGTGCTGAGAGGAAATTTTGTACAGACGCGCTTCACTTGAGCTGTGTGCTCCACCTCACAGAGTTGAGTGTCTTCAGCTGGAGTGCCTCGTGTGAAGTCACACGTGTGAGTAAAATCTCCGGAGAATTAGGAGACACAAACCGGTGCCGAGATTGGTGCTGCCCCTTTTGATTTGAGGAAGATTCCTGTTTGCAGTTCCCTCCTTTGCTAACGTACCTAAAGGGAATGATTCGTGTCTGAGGTTTTGGCAGGCATCACTGTGATGTTTGTACTGTACCTACTGCGTGAGCTTCTTCGATGTAGACAATAAGAAAATCTGCTACAGAGCCGAAATCTTTGACGAGCTTGTTGAACTCATCAAATTTTAACATAAACGAAGGTCAGGTGCAACTTCCAAAATTCAGGATTAAAGGCCGGTTATCTGGAAGAAAACAGGATGGTTTGTGGTTAAGTTGGTGGGAGGAAGGACAGAATTAAATTAATGCACTGAATTGAGCCTCCTCCGCAGTATCCTGGGCAACAGTAGATAAGTCATTTACCCCGTAACTTTCTTATTAGGACATCAAAGTCGGCAGCAGAACATCTGCATCTACACAGAACGGGCCTAAAGCTGCTCTCTTCTCCCCAGCCTGGCTCGGGCCTGTGCTGGCTCCAGCAAGGAGCCCCACCGCGGGGGCCCCCTGCCTTCCTAAAGCGCAGAGAAGGGAGGAGGGGGCAGGGGGAGGACATCAAAGTCGGCAGCAGAACATCTGCATCTACACAAAACGGGCCTAAAGCTGCTCGGGCCTGTGCTGGCTCCAGCAAGGAGCCCCACCGCGGGGTCCCCTTGCCTTCCTAAAGCGCAGGGAAGGCAGGAGGCGCCGTGCAGCTGCGCATCTTTCCTCGCGTCCTCATCACGGGAGCCAGTTCTCAGGATACCAACATTTTGGGACAGGGAAGTGATGTGAAATGGCTATACAGTGTGTAGCCATCGCAGCCTCCCCAGATCCTTAGCACGAAGGAACTTCAGAAATACTAAACTGATGTTTAGTAAGGTTTTTTGAAGGGATGGACACCCAGGCACAGTGTCCTAGTGCCTTTTAATGCACATGTGGGGCACGTCTTCAGGTTTTCAGAGGAGTCGGTTCCAGCTGAGCTGGGTGGGAGCTGCAGGCTGTTCAGTCTCACGTCACAGGCTTTCCTGCTTTCAAAGTATTTCTGCAATTTCCTGCCCCAACCAAACTCTGGTTATATATTCTTATTTAGTAAACTAATGTTACACAAGCCACTGGCAGAAGGGTCTGTGCAGTTGCTTACAGATTAAGGCAGTATGTGCCCACGGGTGTTCGCAGCTGTTCGCAAGGCCTCGATTTAACTTGAGGGATTTTTAAGCACCTCTTTTAGTCTATGGTTATGCTAAATTACCTGAAACCTGTTCAAGATCTTCCTTCTGGCTGAGCTTCGCTTCAAAACCTGCTGCTAACATGGATGCACATCCTTACAAATCTCATAAAGGGGGTACCTTCCTGTGGATATTGTATCCTTTTCCAAATTTGCATCCCGTTTTCTACAAAAATGTATATCTCTGTACATAATTAGCAAAGCAGAGAGAGAGAGGGATGAAATCCCTCCATGGGGATAGAGACTGCAGCTTAATGATTAATTCCACGTTCTACAGAGATCTCAGTGGGAGGCAAAGGACAAAGGACAAAGCAGCTACTTTTTCTTCTGCTTTATTTCGAGTCACTTTGAATCAGGGAAAAAAACAACCGTGTGCTTTCTAAGCTTCAGGCTGGCCGAGGGAGCTGGTGTGGGACTTCTGTACGTCCAGGGAATGAATCTGTGGAATCACGAACCGCTGCGCACGGTTCTGATTCCGAGTCTTCTCTCCCTAAAACAAATTATCTTGGCTTTCAGTGAAAAGGTATTTCCAGGCAGAGCCAGCTTTTGCAAGGGGTTCCTAAGCTTACTGGCGTGAAGGGATAGCGTGGCCAGGGTGACAAACGCAGGTTAGTTTGAAGATGGAGACGCTGCATCTTTAGCGTGGCCAGGGTGACAAACACAGTTTGAAGATGGAGACGCTGCATCTTCCTGAAGCGAACGCCGACAGCCTGGTCTGCCGTGCCACGCGCCCTCGTGCCAGCTGCCTGTCCCTGTTCCCTCAGCAGCCTCTTCTCCTCGTTTATCACCTCGGCCAACCGAACCCACCGACGCTGATTTACTGACCTCGCATGAAATCCAAGAGGTGACGCGCTTCCCCGTTGAGAGTCACCACCGGCGTGTTGGGAGCGGGGTGTCCCTCATAGGCTTCATCCTCCAGCCTCTTCCACTTCACCTTCAGCACAAAGAGCAAATACTTGAAGCTGAAAAAAGTCGGACCCCAGTTTTCGTAGCTGAACTTTGGGTTCTCGTTCATTCTGCTCTTTTCGCCCTGTTTTAGGATGTATCTTTTCATGGCGTTAGGGAAGAGCAGCATCAGTGTTTTGCCAACAACGACGCACGTAGTAACATGCAGAAGAATAAGGATTTTTTGTAGGAATACCCTGATGCCGAACATCGTGCTGGAGGAAGTCCGACTGCTTCCGACAGGAACGCAGCGCGTCGGCGGGGGCAAAGGTAGAGCGCAGAGGGGGCAGAACGTTCACGTGTTTGGCCAAATTTCTGCCTTGCCTTGCACGCCGTCACCCCTCCGTGGACTTCAGCATCTGCGTGAGTGAGGAGCGGCCAGCTGCGCTATCCCCACCTACACCCGGGCATAATTAACTGGGGGAGGGATAGATTTTTGGTGTTATCTGCACGGTTAAAAGCCTTATTCACAAGTACATCGTGGGTTTTACTAATGCGAGGGCCTGCATCGGGATGTTTGCCCAGAACCACAGACTGAGAATTATGCCAGCGGTACTTGAGGGTCAGATCCTGCCAGCGGTCACGGGTTTGGACCCTGCACGTGCGGGGCTCGGGGCTGGAAGACTTTCGGGCAGGAGGTGGTGCGCAGGGCCTTGGGGTGATGCAGAGTGAACAGTGTCCTGTTCCTACATCTCCACCTCCTTCGGTGCTCGGCTGCACCCCGCTGTTTGTCTTTGGGGCTGGAGGGGTATATATTCCCCAAGATAGGTAACAAATTGGGGACTTTTTACAAGGGCCTGTAGCGACAGGACAAGGGGTAACAGGTTTAAATTGAAAGCGGGGAGGTTTAGATTGGATATCAGGAAGAAGTTTTTTCCGGAGAGGGTGGTGAGGCACTGGGACAGGTTGCCCAGAGAAGCTGTGGATGCCCCATCCCTGGGAGTGTTCAAGGCCAGGCTGGATGAGGCTTGGAGCAACCTGGTCTAGTGGAAGGTGTCCCTGCCCATGGCAGGGGGGTTGGAACTGGATGGGCTTTAAGGTTAAGGTCCCTTCCAGCCCAAACCATTCTGTGATTCTATGAAATTAACATGCAAATTATCCAAATGCGTGATACACACCTTATAAAAGAGTATACAAATACGTACGTATGAGCTGTATGTGTGTGTATGTATAACATGCATAAATCCGGCAGCCGGTGCCCCGTTCCCGTAGCACCGGCCCAGGGCTCCGGACGCCGGGGTGGCGCTGCCCCGGGACCGCCCGCGGGCTCTG